AGGTTGCATGGGAAATGCGGAGACACACAAATGCCATACATAGACGCGGCATCAATTGCGAAGCTTTCAGAAACCAAAGAATTTCCTTTCAAGCAGATCTTTTATTATTTCACAACATTTTTGACGTTTGCAGCGTATTCTTCAAAATTTTATTTTGCATATCAATTTGTGCTGCAGGATGAGTGATGAATCCTTGCAAACACGCGGGCTACGACTAGTTTATAAGCGCGTCTCAAAAGAAAAAAGCAAAACTGGAGGCAAGGATCACCTCTCAGAAATTGCCATGCAGAGAATATAACTATGTTCAGAACATGAATCAAGCTTTTGAAAAAACGCAAGTGAAAAGGCCACCAGGGTTAATCGTATATTTTCGCATCTCGCTTAAGACATGACTGATTCTGGTAATGTTGTGACTTTTCTTTTGAACTTAGAAAAACCTCTCTGAAAACATCCGATCAGGATTTACCGTAGAATATTCAAGCGATTGATGGGGTAGCAAAATCATTATCATCCTCAAATGTTTTGATGCATACAAACATCACTTTTTAGTACGCTATGTTGAACAGTTTGAATTCGAATTTGAGCTTGGACCACATGACTAGGAAAAACTGTATTCGATATTTCTCGAGAGCTAAAGCTTGTAGAGAGCCGAAAATTTACGTTTGTACTTCTAAAGGTTTGTAGTATACAACTACATATGTGCGAATGGCGCAGCACCACTTTAGCAAATGGAGGAAAATTTCCATTTTCTTGATTTCTAACAGAGAAAAATATACGGCAACGGCGTATATAGATGCCTTATATGGATTGTGTTTACGTGAGCGAGTTAGAATTTTCGTAGGATTTTTACGAACTGAGTTACGATTTTTCTCAGTTTTTCGGGCAGTTGAATCTTTTCAGTTTTTGGCTCGATACTCATGGTGGATCAGAGCTGTTGCTAAAGCGAAATAGCCATCTTGTAGAGCTTGCTTTGCTCTAACGAACGTTACCTTGCAACCTATTCAAAAATGAGAAATGTATGACTTATTGCGGTTGGAAATCAAAACCTGCATTAATTTCCGGACAACCTAATATGTATGAATGTGTGATTCATTCTGAAAAAGCAAATCAAGATCTTATGGTTTACTAGTTTCTTTGGAAAAAAAAAATTTTTTTGATAAAGGAACGCTAAGTTATTGAGTAATCTGGTCTAAGTCATGAGAGAATGTGATGTTGTTTAATCATAGTTAAAAAGTGATAGTCATGATTACACAAAATTGTGCTCCAAAAAGCGAACTTAAAATGAATGTAATATGTACATATGGCATTTACAAGACAATTTTTCAGATTTTCAATCACTGCACGACTACGAATGTTCAAACTCAAGCGATTTGGATTGCCCAATAACTGACCGTCATGCAGCCTGAAAAATCTCACTTTTTTGACTGCAGATATTCATAAACAGTAGATCACAATTTCCATTGTGGTCCATCATGCCAAAGTTGTGCGTGTTCAATTACCAAAGTACACTTCTGTGCACTTACTAAAAGCTCAGAACAAACTTAGAAATCCACAAAAGTGATTTCTTAGAGGCCTAGCCATATGGGAGCATGATTGTCATTTGCTGATGAAGGAGAAAGTTGAATATTTGATATGCGACAGAGGCTTGAGGCTAGCTCCTCATGAAAAATCACAGCGGAAATACCAGCCGAGTTGTTACAGAGCTTCGAAGCTTGTCAAAACGAATTTACTTACTAGTCAACCTAGTAAATGTTGCCTGTAGTATTTTTCAAATCTATGTCGCAGAACGTTATCGTTTTCTACACGAAGCATAAGCCCTCATGCGAACAAGAAAAACTGAGGTCGACGATTAGTTCAAATGCCTTTGAAGAAAAGCTTAGGCGAGGGAAACTGATTGAATGACAGCAACTAATGGCATCTAGTCGATTTCAGTATGTCTATTTTTCAGAGTTCATCGTATTTCTACAAACAAAATCTTATATATAAAGCTGAATGTCTGTTTGTATGTATGTCTGTCTGTCTGTCTGTATGTATGTCTGTACGTATGTTCCGAATAGAAAATTCCATTTCTGAACCGATCCGGACCAAACTTGGCACACATACACTACGGGCCCCGGCGGGTGTCATAGGCTACTTTTCGACATCGATCGATATCGATTTTATCGATTTTTATCGATTTTTTGCTGAGTTCACCTACGGGGCTGGGAGTTGGCACAGGGGGGTAATCGAGCATGGGGTTTCCGAATACAATATTGGTTTTCAGGATTATCGATTACTTTTATCGATTTTATCGATTTTTTTGCAAAGTTTGAGCTACGGGGCTGGGAGTTCGCACAGGGGGGTAATCGAGCATGCTGATCACCCCCAAGGGGGGTGATCAGCATGCTCGATTATACTCCTGTGCCAAATTCCAGCCCCCTAGCTCAAATTTTCAAAAAAATCGATAAAATCGAAAAAGTAATGGACGATCCTGAAAACTAATATTGTGTTCGTAATCAGCATGCTCGATTACCCCCCTGTGCAAACTCCCAGCCCCGCAGGTCAAACTTTACAAAAAAAAATCGATAAAATCGATAAAAGTAATGGACGATCCTGAAAACTAATGTTGTATTCGGAATCCCCATGCTCACTTCCCCCCCTGTGCCAACTCCTAGCCCTGTAGGTGAACTCTGCAAAAAAATCGATAAAAATCGGTAAAATCGACATCGATCGATAACGAAAAGTGGACTGTGACACCCGCCGGGGCCCGAAGTGTATGTGTGCCAAGTTTGGTCCGGATACGGCGGAGCCGGGTAAGCCAGCTAGTACATAATAATATGACTCAATCAAACTCAAAAATTCGTCACTTTTTTGTAAACCGATTTTTCCGCTTCGTTCAAGGAGAAGCATCCTAACGCTATAAAATTTGCCTCAATAAGTTATCGTTCGAGATCGTGATTCAGTTGGGATTTCAGTCGTTGCATAGTTGAGTGACAGAAATTGGTTACTGCATGGGGGAGGGGGGAGGAAGGGGGCTTTTTCGAGGAATTTTGGCATATTTGTAACTATAGCAAATCCTTTAGCAAGCGAACGTGCTTTAGAACAAGAGCTCTTGTTGAAAGTCTAGGGTAAGAATCCGCCCCAACCAGCAAGTCTTCAATTAGTTGTTATTTGTAAGAAATGTTGGGCACTAGCGAGAAAATTTTTGTTCGAGCAAAAAGAGTTGCAACTTTGGTTGCAAAAACAATGCTGCCCTCAGACATTTTACTTTAATAGATTTGCGCATGCTGGTGATTTGCGATTCGGCCTGTTTGCAAAGATTATTCTTTATGATGACGCTGGAAAGCTCATATGCGATAGTTAAATAGATACACATTGGGTTGTTGCAGGCAAGTGGCGCGGATCTGTAAAAAAGACCGGCTATTCTTTACACCTCAGAAATGACACATTCTATGACAAGGGAAACGATCCCAGCTTAAAGTGGCGAACTGGAATAAACCGATATCTTTAGTTGTGCCTTGATGAGCTGATTCCAAGTCTACCTTCCATATCTGTGATGCCGTTCTCAGCAGAAAGTTATGAGCTGTTGAAAATGTGAAGTCAACAGGATTTCAATGCATAATGTGCTTCAAAATCCAACTTGGGAGTGTATGACTAGCATGATATTGAGTGTGCTGATTTCAAGAAATGCTCACACCTAAAGGAACACAAATAAATGTTTTTGAACAACTAAAAACAACCAAAGTTCTTTGGTAAAAGCTATGAGCAGTGAAAAATCCAAATTTGGCAAATATACAGCGCCATACCTCGAGAATTAGTTGTTCAAAAACACTTATTTGCGTTTTTTTATGTGAGCCGAAATTAGCACACTCAAAATCGTGCCAAGATTACATTCAAGTTGGATTTTGAAGCACATTATGCATTGAAACCCCGATGACTTCACATTTTCAACCGCTCACAACTTTTTGCAGAGAACGGCATCGCAGACATGAGAGGTAGCCTTGGAATCAGCCCATCAAGACGCATCTAATGATATGGCGGTCATTCCAATGCGCCACTTTAAGCTGGGATTGTTCCGTTGTGAGTGAGTGCCCGTGAAGCCTTTTCCTGCTTTAATAATCTAGATTTTTATCACTCCAGATTCCGTCTGGCTATTGTGTTGCACATCTTTTGGGAACATCATTTGAACTTGGCTAGACAATTTGTATGTGTGCGGATAACACAAAGTTTTGAAGCTAATTGTAAGCTTGAAGTCGATAACCCCTCATTCATACAAGCTACGATTAGACATTTTCACTAGCATAGAAATCTAGCCATAGATTGTGTATTGTTGATCCCTCGTCGGTATTTTTTATTCTAGTCTATAAATTAGATATGCTTCAGAATTCTGAGAAAAAAATGACATAAGAAAGCTTGCTTTTCTTGCAGAAGCTTGCAAATATTTATCGTTAAAAACGAGCTTAAAAAATGAAAAAATGCTTTAGAGATTACAATCTTCTAATGCTAGGGAGGTTCTTTTCCAAATAAAAGATTTTGAGAACTTACAGCAGCACAGGCTAACTCATTCTTCTATGTCATGGTTCATGCCCACCAACAAATACCCATAAGTTCCTTTATCAGCGCAAACGTGTAAACAGCAAAGAATTGTAGAGAAGCATCATTTCTTTAATAGTGTCCATTCACAGTGGTGTTGTCAACTTCTCAATCTGCTTCGTGTTGCAGATAGTAAACGTAAGGAGAAGCTCTATTCTAATATTTGAAATGTATCCACGTTGCGAAACATCTAAAAAGCTTGGTCTTGACACACTCACGAAACCATAGCTGCAAGGCAGCTAATGAGCAAGCTCTACCTTGTTTCATGCGTTCAACTTTAGACGCAGTGCTGAAAACCTTGGAAAATGGACAGCCGAGAACAAGCTAACAAATCGCCCGAAAAAGTCGGACATCCAATAGAAACTGCAGGAACAGAGTCAGATAGTCGGACTCCCCAACATGAAACCGACTACGAATTTCGAAAAGAAATGTCTGCTGAGCGGAAGTCAAGTGATGGACCTACAGATTCCATGGTTTGATTTTTTGATGAAAAAGATACGTTTCGTTTAGCCGGTTATAATATAACGAGCGATAATGGAAACTTGAGGTCGCAGTAACAAATTTTCGTTTGGAAAAATGTATCCACCATTCCTAATCGACTCCTGATAATAATAACCTATAGCGAGGGATTTGGTTGTGGGACTGAAAAGATTGCATTTTGACAGTTAGCTGACACATATCAGGTACCCCGAAATGGGGACTGGATTGCCGGACAACATAATCGTTTTTGCCTCAAAAGTTACCTTTCTTTCGAATCTTCCTTCTCCTTTTCATGCCGCCCTCCAGCTTCCTCAATGTTCCCTTCCACCGCACATAGAACTATGGTAGTTTTCGTACTAGAATGATCTTGCTTTCTGTTCAACTTAAACTCACCAATCCGTTGCCCAACAGGTTAAAATGAAATTTGCCGTCCCTGCTTGGCCTTGGGGGAAATGACGGTAACGAATCAACGAGTTTTATACTCCTGGAATGATATCCACGAAAGACCCCACGAAATGGGGTTTTCATGCGAATAAAATGGGCTTAGTCCATGTGGTGCGATAAGATATCGCTTTCGCGAATCCATTCATTTCATACAAAACTTCTCAACAAACCTTTCTCCAACATGTTTCGTTCTGTTTACTCACTCTTGCGAACTCATTTCCACCAAGTGGTCGCTATCTGACTAGGCTGATTTAACATTACAGTGTCAGTCACGTAGATATTCTAATCTTACCCTTTTCGTCACACCTCACCAAATGCCATTTATTATATTATCAATAACTATGCATAAATTACTTCCAAAACTAAAATTTAAGTAATATCTGGGTCTTCGCTTTTCAAGACTTCTATGAGTTTACATTAAATCAAATTCGTGGGTAGAGCTTTCTGCAGAAAGCAAACTATGGCTAAACTTGCACTGCAATCTATGAAGCAAAATGCTTATCTCATAGGAAACCTTGTACTACGCTAAAACCAAAGGGTTGTTTAAAACGAGAAATTATGGGTCTGCAAAAAATGATTTCGAAAATCTTCTACATTAGCTCTTCTTTGTCTTTCAGCACTAATGTTCATATCTAAGTGCTAGTGCTAGTAAGAAATTTTTCACAGAATTTTTCTTGCTAGTAGCACTTCAGTAATTCTTGCGACCAAACTCAAAATCGCGTTTGAGATGACTTCTTTGAGGTTCGGTACTACGAAATTGGTCAAAAAGTAGCTTCTGAGTTATTATACTGAAAGCAAATCTTTTTTTATTCTCAAGTACAAATCATGAATCTAGTTTTGGTTGATGATGGAAGAGTTAATGAACTATATTTGATTTACTTAGGAATCTCCGCATCGACCTAATATTTGGAAGGATTTGAGTTTGTTAACGAATATCTTGGTGAATTTAATTTTCTCCCATGTTTTTTATAGCGTTTGTATGGGTTTAGAAAGAAACACTTATTTCAGACTTCATAAAAACATGAAACTTTTTCCATTCACCTGTTACCTTGAATTAGGCTAAGGAACACACTCTCAAGAAATCGCAATCAAAAGTATGCAAAAAGGTTAAAAATGGGCTTAGTCCCAGCTCACCTTGCTGCTAGGAGTAAAATGGGCTTTCGAGTCCATTTAAAATGGAGGTAAATCACATTTTGCCCCATTCTAAATGGACTTTTCGCATGATTCTTTCGCAAGCGGAAGGGTTGAATTATTTTCATCACACCGCTTTGCCTCGTGGTCACGACAAGATATTAAATTTTTGGATAACGCTAGCGAAAGCAGATTCCGACCAGTTTCTACCGCGAACGAATAAAATGAGGTTTGAAAGTCCATTTTCCTCCACTATGGACTTTCGTGGATATCATTCCTACATGTAAGACAAAAAATCAACAATTTTATAGATTCATATCCACTAAATCGCCGTGGAGAGTAAGCTACGTTGTTCGCCGCATATTTCTAGTTTAGCAGAAATCAGCCCGTCGATTCACACAAAAAAAGTCTATACGTAACCTTTGATTCAACTGGGGCTTCGGAAAGGCAGGGTTTTATGAAATAATCAAGGCCGCTCTCGCCTGCGACGCACCTGCCTCTCTTTCCTGCGAGTGCTCCCTGGTCATTACCTACCTAGCCTTAATTAGGTCACGAAGTCCCGCCTTCCCGAAGTCAAAGTTGAATTAAATGGTAACATAGATTATGAAACAAGCAGTTTTCTGATTTTCCAAATAACAATTATGCTTATGATCGATTGTAGTTTACTGATTTCCGCGCTTAACTAGGCTTTGTTCGTCCAGGCTAAAAAAAACGAATGTAAGCAGCAAATATAATGAGTGCAACGGGTCATAAAATCTATGAAAACTTTAGGTTTGGCGGTTGTCGAAAGTGTTAGATAGCACTTCCACTTAGAGACCACCTCAAATCTAACTCTTTACTAGTCCGAAGATGGCTAAAGCGGACTTTACCTCTGCTGGGTCTGGGTCTCAGCGAACTTAATGTACTTCTTATATATAAAGCTGAATGTCTGTATATGTATGTATGTATGTATGTATGTATGTATCAGTGGCGTACCGAGGGGGGGGGGGGCGCGCCCCCCCCCCGAGCATGGGTCGCGAAATTTTTGAAAGTTGCTTATATGGGTTATAAAAATGTGTAAGTGACTTGTTTATTTTTGTAAATAATTAAAATAATTTTTAAAAATTTTTAAAAATTCAAATTAGCCTTGTAAAAAAATTTTTTTCGGGGGCGTGACTGACGCCACGCCCCCTTTTTCCAGATTTTAGGGGTCGGGGACCCGGAAAAATTTTGGGAAGCACCCCCAAAAATTTTTCGGAGTGCGTGGCTAACGCCACGCACCTTCTTTAGAAAAAAATTTTTTGTCGCGCCCCCCCCCCCCCGAGCCGAAATCCTGGGTACGCCACTGGTATGTATGTATGTATGTATGCATGTATGTATGTATGTATGTATGTACATATGTTCCGAATAGAAATTTTTATTTCTGAACCGATCCGGACCAAACTTGGCACACATACACTTCGGGGCCCGGCGGGTGTCATAGGCTACTTTTCGTCATCGATCGATATCGATTTTATCGATTTTACCGATTTTTTTGCAGAGTTCACCTACGGGGCTGGGAGTTGGCACAGGGGGGTAATCAAGCATGGGGATTCCGAGTACAATATTAGTTTTCGGGATTATTAGTTACTTTTATCGATTTTATCGATTTTTTTGCAAAGTTTGAGCTACGAGGCTGGGTTGCACAGGGGGGGGGGGGTAATCAAGCATGCTGATTACGAGTTCGATATTAGTTTGGCGCTATTCGGCTAACCGGGCCCCAAAATTTTTCTGTCGTAGAGCTTGCTCAGATTCGTGTATAAGAGTTATCTTACATGCTGATTACAGATATCACACTTTTGTCGCAGAAAGTCTCCCCATGTGGTTACTAGATGTACGGTAGGAAGTCAAAATCATGAATTCGGCGGTGAACTGTCGCCCAGTGGAGCTGTTCCGCATGGGGAAGCCAAACCCCTCGCGACCCCGCTTGGTGAAAGTGGTATTCCCCTCTAGGTATTATTGGCAGGTGGCACTTTCCAATGCCCGGTTATTGAGGAGTCATGGCTTCCCTCATGTTTTCGTGAGGAGAAGCATGACAGCAGAGGAAAGAAGCCGCGACTATGAGCTGAGGAAGCTCGCTCGGGAGCGGAATAAAGGGAAGGATGTGAAAGAGTGGGTTATTTACCGTGACGAGTTGGTTCATACTTCCCAACTTCCTCGTAGGAGTTCGGGAAACGTATGAATGCGCACGGTATTACTGACTCAGTAAAGATTTATTTACTCAATGCCTGAAGTCTTGTTAATAAATTAGAGATTTTTCAACTGTTTGTTTCTGAATGCAAGCCAGACCTGATTTTTGTGACTGAAACGTGATTTAATGCCAGAATCCTCGACTCTGAAGTAGTTGGTGGACTACCATATGTAGTATATAGAAGTGATAGATGTAGACACAGAGGCGGTGGGGTGTGTTGTCTTGTAAAAGGAAACATAGTAGCTAATCGTATCGAGTGCAACTATACGATGTTATCAGATGTGCTTATAGTGGACGTTATTCATCCTTCCAAACCTAATCGATTGCGTTTTTTGGCCATTTACCGCCCACCGAGCTCTAGCAAAACAGATGATGAGTGCCTTTTAGATATGATGAATCATTTTGCTTTGGGTTGTGATCACAGTGAATCTATTATACTTGGAGACTTTAACTTACAAGTAGACTGGATGGATCTCAAACCTTTAAACAGTGCGTCTACATCATTGTCTACCTATTTTGTTGAAAATCAAATTAAACAATTTGTGTCTTCGCCCACTCATGGCAATCACATCCTTGATCTTGTTCTTTCCTCTGCTGTTGAGCCTCTCCATGTGAATGTTCATCCCCCGCTTGGGTCTTCGGACCATGGGATAGTTAGTTTTGAGGTGCGTGATGTTCCATCAGCGGCATCCCTTCCTTTTCCAATGCCCGATTTTCATAATGTCGACTACAAAGCATTGAACGAATACCTTTCTGGAATCGATTGGCTTTCTCATTTTAATGGATATGAATCTTGCTCTGATGTATATAGGAGGTTTTGCAAAATACTTTATGAAGCTTTTGCTCTATTTGTTCCTTTCAAAGCTCGTGGTCCTGTCATAGCCAAAGTACCTACACATATACAATCCCTGAATTTGCAGAAATGTCGTCTTTTTGATGACCTGCCTGATCCTTTGTACAACGATCTTTACAGAAAAGTTTGTTCCGACATTGAGTTTCATATGCAAAAGTTTTTGTCTAATCGTGAGCGTCGGCTTGCACAGAAATCAGCGCGAAGCCTGTTCCTTTACATCAGAGCTAAGATGAAGCCAAATTCTAACCTCCCCACCCTCGAAAATGACCTTGGTGCTCGATTTTTCCGTGATGAAGAGAAGGCGAAAGTTCTTGGAGCCTATTTTGCTAGCGTCTTCACTTCTACGGACAGTAGTGCACCTGATGTTGGCAATATTCATGATGTGCGAGGGAAATTGTCTTCAATCTTCTTTGAATCGCATGAAGTCTGCCGAATTTTGAAGCACCTCAAAAACCCCGCTACTGAAACATATGACGGCGTACCTCAGATTGTATACAAGAAGTGTTCCTTATATCTGGCCACACCATTAGCACATATTTTCAACATATCCATGTTATTAGGAGAGGTACCCGCACTTTGGAAGCACGCCCTTGTAACACCTATCCCTAAGGTCCAGGGCGCTAGGCGGGTGAGGGATTTTCGCCCTATTAGCCTGCTACCTACACCTGCAAAAGTCATGGAAAAGTGTATAAGAGATAAGCTTGTGTCCTGGCTTGATGAAGCTGGCATGGTCCCTGCTGAGCAGCATGGTTTCATCAATGGTGCCTCGACGACAACAAGTTTGGTTGACATATTTATGACTGGACTCTTGCCTTAAATAGTAAAAAATGTGTGGATGTGCTTTATATTGATTTATCTAAAGCATTTGATAAGGTCTGTCATGATATGCTAGTGAAGAAACTCAAAATGATAGGCGTTGATGACCCGCTGCTCGCATGGTTTGATTCGTATCTGCACAACCGCTATATGACTGTAAGAGTTCATGACCGATTTTCGGATACCTATTCTTGTGCAAGTGGTGTTCCTCAAGGAGGAGTTTTATCGCCTATATTATTCCTCATTTATACTATGGAGTTGCCTAACTTACTCCATACTTCTCAAAAGGTTAAAGGTTAAAGTGCAAATGTATGCAGATGATATAAAGATATACGGAATGTACGATGTAGAAGATCGAATTGAGGTTCAGTCAGCTTTACAACTGTCTCTTTCCAATCTGGTTGAATGGGCAACGACTTGGAATTTAACACTCAATCTTGACAAGAGTTGCGTACTGCATATAGGAAATGGTTGTGCAGGTACTTATGTGGTTGAGGAGCTTGCGTTGAGGTCATGCGGCTCAGCTAGGGACTTGGGAGTGCTTGTTAATGCTAAACTAAAGTTTTCTGAACATATCGATGCTGCTGTCAGAATGGCTTACACCTCCCTATTCGTGCTCCTGCGCACCGTAAGGAGTAACTCACCTGCACTAGTGACGCGTCTCTACAAAGCCCTCATTCGCCCCCATCTAGAATATTGCTCCCAAGTTTGGAATCCTGCCCGGAAAAAAGATATTTGTAAAATAGAAAAAGTGCAAAAAACATTCACGCGTTTCTTGTACAGGCGACTCTATTCTGATAACAGTATACCAGATTATAATGTACGGCTTAGAATGTTCAAATTACATAGTCTTTCGTTTCGTCGCAATCTCTCAGATTTAGCGTTTTGTTTTCAAGTTTTAAAGGGTGAAAATCGGTTGAAGGCAAGTAAATATTGGATATTCATGCCAGCTAGTGAAAGGTCGGGAGGATTTAATTTGCATTACGCCAAAGTCAAAAAGCACAATCTTGCAAAAATGCACAGTAACATATTCTGCAGGTCTGCTAGATGGTTTCAGCGGTTGCCTATGGATGTTATGTGTTCTCAGACTGCACGTTCCTTCAGGGCTAAGTTGATGAGAGCTGACATACAGCTTTCATCCCTAAGCTTTTTGGAATGATTTTAATTTTATCGTTTTTCAGTTACCAGTTCTTTCTCTTATTGGCTTTATGGCTGTTGGTATTACTAGCATGTCGGTTTTCGATCCGCACGGTCATTTTTCGGAGCCGAGTCCTGGTGTTCTTCAGTTGCAGCTTGATTCAGTAGCCTGATTTTATTTATTGGTTGTTACTAACCTTAAGCATCATTAACTAACAACTGAACCAGCCCTGCTCATTCGTCAGAAGTTTTATTACACCTTACTGCCTTAACGAAGCCTAGCTTCCCATCTAGGGCACTCTTGTGTCCGCCTAATGAAGTGCCTTCCGGAGTAGTTGGTAGATGTTTACTCTGCCACTCTCAATCTGAATCTTGCTTCCTCTAAAATTTAATCTTTAATGGGGTCAGGTCAGCTAGCCTTACCGGCGGGCTCGTTGACACCCAAAAACGGGGCATCTTTGATTTTAGAGTGTGCAAGATTCATGTGATTGTTTTTGATTAAGTTACTTTCGTTCAACTTTACAAGCTGGGTCTAGAGCTTCGAGTCCTGTTTCATTCCGTATTTTCTTTTATCTTCTCTTGCGGCTGAGGATTGGCTGGTCTCATTGTTTGTTTGGATCTTCTTTTATTTCTTTGCTCTGGTGCACCTCGAGTGTATTTATCAAATAAAATAAAAATAAAAATTCGGTTGGAGTGCGGTCCAGAGAACTTATTCGACATGCTGATTACCTTGGGACTTATTCATAGAGTTAGGGTGGTTATATAGGTGTGGGGTCGAAAACATAGATTTGCTTCAAACTTCGTCTAGGATGGTCATTCAGCGCGCTGAACATAAATATCATGTTGATTTCGCAGGATGGTGCATTTTCTTGGGTTACGGTGGGTGTAGATGGGTCGAAGTTCCAGATTTGCTCAAAACCTTACCTGTAACAGTTCACAAGTATACCACTTATGAATATGAAACTTGCTCGCTGTCATAACGCATTAGTGAAGTTATGGTGAGTTGCAGGATTTGAATGGACAGGGGCAATTTAGATCCCAGATATTCATGAAGTGGGGAAACGGTCGTTTTGCATGGCGGTCTCCAGCGCCATCCTGATAACCTGTCCCAACGTGTAACGCACGCGGCAAATCTCCCTCTCCCTGATTTGCTTAGGCAAAAGCCGCCGAAGAGTGTATTGCAGGCAGCAAATCTCCCTCCCTCTATTTCTGCTTAGGCAAAAGCCGCCGAAGGATGTATCGCGCGCGACAGTGGTCCTATAAGGAAAGCATTACGGTCGTGGGAAACTTTTATTATACCACACGAATTGCCTTTATCGCGGGGATTGAGCACGATATTCTTTGAACAGCACTTTAGGTAATTCCCTGCCAAGGTTTCAGGCAGGTTTATGATTTTTACCCGCTGCCACGCGATGACTATGATATTGTCATCAGTGGTTCAAATAACCCCATATACCGAGTTTGAGCAAGATCCGTCACAAAAACATTGGGGCCCGGATACCGGATAACGCCATCAGTTTTTAGAATTATCCTTACTTTTATCGATTTTATTGTTTTTTTTTGTGCAAAGTTTGAGCTACGGGGCTGGGGGGTTGGTGAGGAAGGTAGGTGAGCATACTGATTAAAAACGCAGCGGGAATAGAGAATGTAGAAGTGGGCACAGGTAAAGGTGTACAGGGATAGAAATGGAACCTTTATCGTTTTTGACAGGGCCAGGCGGAGCCGGGTAAGCCAGCTATGTAGTTCCTTATAAAGGCGTAGATGAGTCCGAATTCGGTTCTAATTTCATACAATAATCTGCTTCTCCAGGACGACCTCTAAAATCTATAATAGTGTCAGTGCACCGTTATGAATCCGTGAGTGGACGAGTGCGCGATAGCAAGATTGTACGCGGCCTACTTGCTAGCCCAGATTCTTTTTTTTTGGATTCTTGCTTGACTAGGACAGTTTTTCTGTTGAAGGTTCGCGTTACATCGCAACAGAATCTCACCATTTTGTTGCTTGAGCGCGTCTTGATGTATTTGTGCCTTCCCCCCCCCCCCTCCCTCCCATGAGGTTAGAATTATACGAGCAGCTCTGTAACATCGTATTTACATATCCGCATCAAATACGCGCAATACTCAGTTGATGCAGAATTAAATCTATCTTTTCAGGAGGGCTTTTTGCCAGAACAGCGGACAATGGAAAGTGACCAAGAAGACACTGCAGTAGAGAGTGCAAAGGTTTCTTTTCTTTTTTAGGGATGGAAGGCTCATAATATCGCTATCGGAAACTCAATATTTTCAGCCAGCCGAAACTCTTCTTGCAACCGCAAGAAGCACATCAAAGGTACGTTACCATGACTAGATCATAGGCATACAAAACGTTTTCATTTGCTAGAAATCGACAAGAACACCCGTAACGGTTGGAGCTGATATAATGGTATGCAAATTTTATTCCTAGTAGACTAAGATAATCATCTCTTTTGCTAGAAAATCTTTTGTACACTAAATCACGAGACAAGACGAAACATTTTTTTCTAAATCAGCCCAAACACATTCAAGGAAATCGACCAAGGGTCCACTACGGTGCTATGTTTTATGAAGAGTTATGATAGACACCGACCACTCCGCAAGGCACAGGGGTGCTATCAAGCGACTCACTTACCACGAAGCTTTATTGTGAACTGATTGGCTTTCCCGGTCCAGCCCGGGCCATGGTTCACCGCACTGCGAGCCGCCCCCCCCCCCGCCCTATATGGTAGCGGATGTCCCAGGGTAAGTATAGGGTATACCCTATACTTACCCTGGGACATCCGCTTGGAAACCGCATCCTCGTGACCCTGAGGTGAAAATGAGCTTCACCGCCCTTTTTTACATGAGTATGGAAAATGCTTGATTGAACATGATAACCCTTCAATTCCTTAGGAAAATGTAAACAAATCAATAAATTGATAGAAGGACCCAACGAATCGCCGCAGAAAGTAGCTTATCATCTGCGCAAGGGTCGAAAACATATGTGTGCAAAGTTTTAGCTGAATCGGTTGAGCGGTGCGCGTTTCTATAACGCACATACCCTCCAAACTGACAATTTTTGAGTTTTATATATATATATAGATAGAGCTATGAGCTAGGTACATGGTGATTGGCAAAATACGAGGTATAGCAAGAAGGCGTGTAGATAGCAATTTGCCTAAAAATGGTCTGGGATATTGAAATACATCTAGTCAAGTCTTATGATTCGATAGGAATTATTATTCACATAAACACCCAGATGTTGATATCGTAACATAAGTAAATAAGCATGTCAATCCTAATAAAAAGCCCATCATAGTCTTCGGAGTAACGCTTTGCCGTTGGAGGCAGCATCTGAACTCAACATTGCGAGCTGATCTCGAATGTGCTCAAAATCCAAACTAACAAGCGAAGCGTGTTTAGTCAAAGTGGCTTCTTCAAATAAGACCCATATCACTTTGAAGAGCATTGTACAATGAATCCAAATCTGCCTTTATTATCTGCCAAGCGCTTCTGGACGCCGAGTTGTGACCGAATTCGGAACAAAAAATGAAAGCAGAATCTAGGTAAAATCAGTTGTTACAATCTTTGCAGCGCTCAGATAAAGCATATAAGCAAAATTAAGTATTAGCATATTAGACAAAATGTATCCATTACATGAACTGCTCTGATACTCGGCACCGGACATTTGAGCAAATTTGGGCGGTTCTATTTCGAATTTGCCTATATTTTTTCACCTAAAAACGCCCATAACCTCGGCGTCCAGAGCCGCTTGGCAGATAGTGAAGGCAGATTTGGATTTACTGTGCAATAATCTCCAAAGCAGTATGGGTCTCATCTGAAAAGACCACTCCGACTGTACACACTTCCCTTGTAAGTTCGATTTTTTCTGGAAGATAAATGATTAAAGGTCTTGGTATAAACCAATCATGAGGCTTCAAACTCGACCACCGTGAAAAGACCAAAGAAATTTGCGACCAAGAGATTCTTTCACATGCTGCTACTTACTCAAAAGAATGTGAGGAAGAGCGATCATTTCCCGAGGCTCAGTGGTGCGACCGAGCTGCTTGCTTGAGAAAATGAAAAAGATGTGTTGTACTCGTGAAATTAGGGTACTTCTTAACAGTTTCTCGCAAACATAGGTTGCAGAGATAGAAATGGATAAAGAAGATTGTTCAAGCTTGAGTCATTTTAAGTTAGACCGCTAAAAATCTGAAACTTTGCAGAAAAATCTGGAATTATTCGTACAAAACTTTCAGATCTACTCTTTCCAACAGCGAAGAGTGTGCGCTGATTGACCTCTCTATGGAAGTTTATAACTTTTGAGTTTATGATAGAAATGGACAAAATCAATTATTTCGTTATTTTTCCCAAAATCATATCCATACCCTCGATACATAGAACCACGTACTCTGGTAACCTTTTGAGGACTATAAGGGGACACAACCTTTCCAAAAAAAAACAGAAGTCATCCGGGGCTTTGCCCCAGATGTTATTATCCTGACTATATCGGAACGAATGTTAATAAAGCAAATATAGGAAATAGCTTTGATTATTTGAGCAAAACCGAGAATTTGCTTTTCATAGCTTTTTTGCGTTAAAAAAGAAGGTTTCTGTGGAATTTTTGCCAGAAATCAGGGAAAATTTTTTTAGTTAACCTCTTATTTGGCCAAAATCGAGTTTCAATAGTTTAGGAAAGCTATTGGAGTTGAACAGAAACGAGAAACCGCGCTTAAATCTTGCGCAGAGGGTTGCGCACGCTGGTCTATCTCCTTAAAGAGTGATTTTTAAAGCTGTAGACGTTGTCAGTTTTCCTCGTCGTGTTATGACGATCAGAATGATATTTAATGTTGCAGGTTTCGTTGTGACCCCGCAGAGTTCTATGACCAGTGCCAGATGCTCCGTCGGCTCTGGTCTCCCTCCGCTGCTCGTCTGCGTCTCCGCGCGCTAAGGGTTGAGCCAGGCTTCGCGGGGAAGCGATGTACGCGGCGTACGCAGCGTACGCTCGGTATATTTCATCATAGCAGCATACGCGGCGTGCGCTGCGTACGTCGCGTACGCCGCGCAGTCTGGCCCAACACTAACTGCGCTAACTCGCTAACTCACGAACGCGGGGCGCGGGACATTTGGCCCTGGTACCCTTTTCTTCGCTGTTTCGAACCCAATTTTAGCAAGCTATAAATCATTTTGAAGCTCTAGATCTCTATTTTCATGCTGACGACGTTCCAGAACCACATTTTTTTGATTTGATAGAGAAATCCGGCAAAAACCCCGTTTCGAAAATCTCTTGTTTTCTTCCTAGTTTAACTTCCTTCACGCGGTTTTTTCGTGCATTCTATATTTTTCTTCTAGTTTAATTCCTTTCACGCGGTTTTTTCGTGCAATCTATAGATCTTGCTTCTATCCATAACGCAGACAACCACCCAGCCCTTACCTCTTCGATTATGGTAGAATTTTTTGCGAAAGATTGTAAGAAGCGCGTTTTTTTCTGTTTCAGTGCTTTCGCATCGATTTTTTTCCAGCTTGGGTGATTTTTGCCCAGAACAATAAGCGCAACAATCCAGACAACCCAGAAAACAGGAACGTCAATGCGGGGTGAGTATTCAAAGGACGCATCAAAAATCAAAACCTCGTTTGCGCGTTGCTGGTCGAGCGAAAACTTGCATCTTGAAAAGCAGCCAAATGGAAGATTTTAGACCTCATTGCAGCGTTTTTATCCAGTTTTCAGCAGTTTCTTTTGCTTTTTATATCTGTTTTACGTCATTTTCTCTTCTCTGATCTTCTTTAAATAACCTTCACTATTTATGACGTCAGATGTTCAAACAACCTTCACTTTTGACGCACTGTCTCTAGACTATCAAAGATATGATCATATCTTTATAGAGACGTGCGCTAGCAACTTTTCTCTGTTGAAAGGCTAGAACATAAAACTTGTGCAGTGACGAATCCGGGTTTTTCTGCAGCGTTTCAATGACGTCCTAACTCAAAATGCTCAAAACCTTGTTTATTCCATCTTTATCGCTGCATTCGGTTTCGCGGGAATAGAAATACTATGGAGTGGAAGGCTTCCCTTTTCTATCAGCATTGCACCGAAAAATTTTGAAGCGAGAATGTTTGATTTTTCGAAAGCGAGAAGGCAGATCTTTTGAACCGATTTAATATCTCGAGGCCTATGTGTTTCCGACATATACTAATCCTCACCTTTTTTGATATAATCGAAAAATTTTGAGTCTAGTACTCGGTTTCAATGGTTCTCGATCACAAAGACAAATCAGCATTGAACTCGAGGCACGCAACTTCTTGAAGATTTCGATTTGCTGTAGACTTAAATCCTGCAACACTTCGACTACATCATCGTCTAGGTGTGCTTGATTCAGATCATGCTCGACTTCATTTTTGCTATTACATGGTGTACCTTCATTTTGATAGCTTATATATTGCTCAAATTCTTTTATATTGCTATAAAAACATGCATGTTTGTAGCCATCAAAACTTACATGATGCGAATGTGAGCCTCATCTAACAAGAGAAAACTACGAAAAATCTGCAAACCTGATTTGACAACCTGATTCTAATTTACCTCAACGTTCAAGCATATAAGTCTAGGAAATTTCCATGAAAATCCTTGTAGTTTGCCTTTCGAACTTACCGACCTCTAATTTAGAATTTACATATTGCGAAAACACGCTCTAACATTTGGCCAGAACAATTTCATTAATTGCCATGTGTATAGCACTAACCTATTCAGAAGCTTCACTCGAGATTGTGGAAATCTAAGATGGAAAACTTATTATCTACTATCATGTAGATTATACCGTAATTATATGTGCACTTAGGATCTGGTTCAACGTTATGAGGAACAGCCAACAATGTCGGTTACGGTGCTGCGAAGGAAAAAGAAGCCTTCACAGGTAGGAACTTTTGAAAGCAGTGCCTTCTGGATCCCGGTTCCTAGCTCTGGCTCTCCAATTTCGTTCTGGGTAAATATATCAAGAATTCTTGATCTTAAAGAATTCTCATTCTTCACTTTCAATAAGGTCAAACTTTTCTCTCCAAATAGTAGGTAAAGTGCGAAAGAAACCTTAGCTCATAAATGTTGTAGAATGTATAAGAAGTGGAACTATTCTACGATGTTTAGTCTGAATTCGATGTTAACTTTTCCAGTCTAGTTTTTGGCAATTTTCATGCTTTCCATGTCGTAAAACTCAATTGCGCAATTTTCAGGAGAAACGCAGGATAAGAGGACGCAAGGTATTTTTATACACGTTCCACAGCCAACACAAATTTGTTTGAATTGTGATAATTTCTCTGATATCAACAGCCCCTCAATAAAGATTTATTTACAGATGGGTTACAGTGAAGAGACCGTATTTGACAATCCGGTAAGCTTCACAAATTAATTTACTTAAGTGATTTGGAGAGCTTCAGGAGGAAGAATTGAAGTCAGAGGTTTGCAAAAGTTTATAAATTGAAAATGAATCACTCTACCAAAATAATTCAGTTCATGGTGCTTGGTCCAAAAGTGCCAACGGTATCAGTTTTTTCTTAAGTGGAATATATGCTAAGATTTTTGAATATTCAGGATGAAGCAGAACGACCTTATGACAATATGGTAGTAATGCCGCAGTCTACAAATTTATTATCTGCTTTTTTACGCAATATTTGCTTATTTACTGAAGAATTATTTTTAGGGAGAGGAAATGAAACAAGAGGCAGAGGTGTGTTGCATGTTTTGGTAATTATCAAATTGGTAGTCATTTTACAGAAGAAAGCTGCAGAAAAACAGAAGGAAGAGAAGGTGACGGCGAGTTTTGATATCAATACTTACGTTTGTCACCTTTACACTTACTCTGTAGCAGCAAAACTCAAAGAGAACGGTGATTGGCTGAAGTGGTCAATCATCTTCCAAGAAGATACGATTACTACCTTAAAGAACATGGAACGCTAATCCAGTTCTGCCTTCCTTATCATCTGCGGGCTTCTAACACAAATACGATCAAGAGCGCCTTTGTGATGGTTCAATATTAATCGACTGTTTTGAAAACAGATACCCCCAGGTTCGAGTCGCTTGTTGTGCTTCTTGTTTTGCATTTCTGCAAAAGTTTGTGCAACGTAGGCTGCTGTACCCAATTTTTTTACTTCTTTCATCCTTCTGAAACGATTATCTTAGCCGCAAAGTGGCTCATGCAAGGGTTACAAATAGGGCCGAGCAAGAGGCACACAACCGCCAAATACCCCCCCCCCTCCTCCTCGGTTCATCGTTTGCTCACCGTAGGTATGGCATAGAGACTTAACAAGCATAATTAGTGACACATTCGTAAATATCAAGTCAAATGATCCCTGCGGGCCAAATTTCAGCGAGTTTTTCCTATGGTCCACCCAGGTGAAGTGGTCATTTTCCAACATGGTTATCTACAGGGTGGCCGAAAAGTATGGGCGTCACATTTTTCGTTTAGTGATTTTTCATAGCAGACAAAATTCTGTAAGATTATTTTTGTATGCCAAAAACAGAGGCATCTTAATGTGTTAATCCTGCAAGACTGGGTTCCTGCACATGCATACAGACTTCAGCAGCTGACCTTGAAGTCGATGCGTCAAAAATACTACTTGAAGAATGTACCCATTGCGAATCGGTTGAAATAACCCGAATATTAATTGAATATGTTCTAAGACCTGAGGTTACGTAGAGTACAGTCCGAGGAATAACAAAGTGCTGTAACAGCAGAAAATTCTCCTCTCCAAGACAAGATACAGTAATACAAATATGGTGTTAACTGAACGCGCCGCAGCGCCTCTCAAGAGAATGTAGACTCAGGAGTCCCGTTTGCACCAGAAGGCTTCAGTTCGCTTGATTTTCATTTATCTTAATATAGAGGCTGTACAGAAGCTATACGCATATTGGCCGCCATGATAGGATATTTCAGAAAGAAGATATATTACATGTTGTAACGCCCATACTTACCGGCCACCCTGTATATTGCGAAAGTGAATTTGCTAACTTTATCTGTACTCAATACAAAGCACTACTCCCTATTTGTCCACACCATGAATTCTGCTTCAAACAAACATCAAACTATGAAATTAAGAACCAGCAAAATCTCATTTGTCTCCTTTTCCGCTTGTAGTATCTGTGCTTCCAGCAATTATTGCTCAAACGAAAGAACACGGATTCAGCTCGAATCACTTACATAAAAAACTAACTGCCTGGCTTTGCTTTCACCGTAGGTTTAGTGACCCAGCAAAAAGCAAAATTGGTGCGCAATTTCAAAGGTTTAACTTTGTGCATTTAGCCGTTCTTCTCTCTTTCCTATAACAGACAGATATTTCTTGATTGCATCCTTGAATTACCGCACTACCCTTCCCGTGGAATAAAAATGAGTTCTACCGCTATTTTTCATCACAAAAGTTGGAAGAGGTTTGACATTACATAACATAAGGGTCCAGTTTACTTCAAAATCGATGAACTAATAAAAGGAGCCGGAATTTCGACACAAAAAGTAGCCTACGAAGCGGACCAGTGTCGAAAGCATGTCAAAATTTCGCGGTGATCGGTACAAAGTATGTATAGTTTGACAGCCAAAATTTCATAATCTACTCATTTATAAATAGCGAAGGCTGGTAAATTGTTGATTAGTGTGTTTTTTATAGTAACTTTTTGTGTGTGAGCCGAAAAAGTTTCTATATAAATACTAACTAACATTTTACCAACTTTCGCTATATATAAATGAGTAGATTACGAAATTTTGGCTATCAAACTATACATATTTTGTTCGCTAACATTCTGTTTGGGGTAAGTTAATGGGGTGTGGCACAATACTAGGAAAGCAGTGCCATTTTTTAAAGGTTTGTGCCATACATCATTAGGAACTTAGTGCAAAAGCAATGCAGTCGACTCTCTTAGGAAGGGGTGTGGTCGTTTTTCTTACCTATGTAAATGAAAATTACTACGAAAATACGGTGGTGGCGAGTAACATGCTAAATCTGCGCTACGTGAATCCCGAGGGAGGGCGGCAAGAATAAACATATCCAACAGCCTAAATCGCGTAATTTTCACAAAAGCGATTTAGGTCTGATCGGTTTTCTTTGGTTCGAGATAAAAAAGCGAAAATTGGGACAAAAGAGATAGTGAGTCTCATAGTTTATAGGTTATGTTTATGGGATTTTTATGTAAGCGAAGAAGTAGTAGAACTTTGTATTGAGTGCAAAACGAAGTACCCTAATTTCACGCGTATGAAATCATCTTTTTCGGTTTTTCAAGCCGCCCATCCACCTCGTTTTGTTTCGGAAAACGAGAGTAATGCCAATGCTCTCAGGAAATATGCAGCACTCTAAATAGTTACTTGGTCGCGAATTTTTTCAAAGTGTCTGCGCTGTTCGTTCTTAGAAGAGGACCTCCCTCGTCTTAATCCCCTCATCCATATATCTACAAAGTCAAAGTTTGTGCAACTTCGGACCGTATGTTTTTTATAGACTCTCTTTCGCCGTACTAACTGAGCTGAAACTTTGCACATATATATTTTCGACCCTGTAGATGGTTTTAGGCTACTCTTTGAGGCAACTTGCTGGGTTTTTCTATCGATCTATTGATTTTTGGCATCTAGCAATGAAACTGAAGCCTTATCAACCGCTATCATACATTTGCATTTTTTGCACATTTTGGTGTAAACAACAGCAGAGAAGCTCATTCTCATTTTGCGGTCAGAAGGATGCGGTACTTCCAAATGATGCTGCTTTGTAGGCATTTGTGCAATGCACCGTGCAGGTGGATATAGGCTGCAGGTCCAGAGAAGAAAAGGGGGGGGGGGAGGGCGGGAACGCAGCAGATGGAAGCGGGATGAAAGATGGAAGGCGTAGGTTTTGAAGCAGAACACATATTTTATGCGGTCCCCCTCCTTACTCTGGCTCCGTTGCTCATGAATATCCAATATTTACTTGCCTTCAACCGATTTTCACCCTTTAAAACTTGAAAACAAAACGCTAAATCTGAGAGATTGCGACGAAACGAAAGACTATGTAATTTGAACATTCTAAGCCGTACATTATAATCTGGTATACTGTTATCAGAATAGAGTCGCCTGTACAAGAAACGCGTGAATGTTTTTTGCACTTTTTCTATTTTACAAATATCTTTTTTCCTGCGCACCGTAAGGGAGTAACTCACCTGCACTAGTGACTTGTGTGTGTGTGTGTGTGTGTGTGTGTGTGTGTGTGTGTGTGTGTGTGTGTGTGTGTGTGTGTGTGTGTGTGTGTGTGTGTGTGTGTGTGTGTGTGTGTGTGTGTGTGTGTGTGTGTGTGTGTGTGTGTGTGTGTGTGTGTGTGTGTGTGTGTGTGTGTGTGTGTGTGTGTGTGTGTGTGAATTCATGTTGAGCATGCTTCAGGCTGCGTTCATACTGATTCCCATGTTCTGGAACTGTTCCCGCACAGTTCTCGCACTGTGCTGAGAACTGTGCGGGAACAGTTCCAGAACATGGGAATCAGTATGAACGCAGCCTCAGCCAAGTGCCGAGCCCAATTTCGTATACAGCGCATGCAACCAACATGTCCACCGTACAAATGTCTTATTGTTAGATGCGTTGAGTGTTCCCCTCAAGAACTAAGTCAAACGGATCCATTGCTTTTCGCCAGCAAGTTTGGTTTAGGGTTCACCTCTGCAAAGCCATGGATGAGTGAACTTGCAAGCCATGGATTCTAGCCCAATAAAGTGATCAAAAGTCTATACTTTACGAAACGGCGCCAGAGGGATTGATAGCGATGAACAATTTGTCAAGGTTCTAGCTGAACAATTAGGAGAATGTGCACAGATGTAGCTCATAGTGATTGTTGTTCTTATGGCGACCACCACGCCATAATATATTTAGAAACAATCAAAATTTGCATTTTTTCTTTTGCTATAAGTCTCATCACGCAGAATTACGATCGAAAGCTTTTGAATTGACTAGTTGTTTATGGTTTATCTGTGATGTCAACATGCGCTGTGAATTTTAATGCCACCATCATGAAGTGATGATTGAGGCACATGTATAGTAGAACCAGTGCGAGCCTCTGCGGAGCAGAGGTGACGCATTAGTTTTGCATAATGGGCCTATCTTACATTGTCACGGATATCATGTTGTCGCTAGCATCAGTATATATCACCTCGATAATGACCCTCTTCCCCTCTCTGACACCTCTACGACCCCTTAGGTGTGGCGTGCCGCACCTAAAGCTCGATCCTCGTCATAAGCGAAAGACAGAAATGCAATAAAGATTAGATTGAAACGCACAAACCTGCGAACATGGTAGGGCCGACACTTGGCGATACATAATGACAAGATACACGTACATGTTTTGAGAAGTTTAAACTCTGTACTTTCACGACATATGCAAGAGAATACAGTGCTAAAATAATCCCGAACGAATATAGAAGTAATAGATTCCATACAGACGAAGCCAGCGTCCGCAAGAATGCAAAAGAAAAGCAGGATAAAGAGTTTGATATTTGAGAGCATCTGCTTCTGAAACCGTCACACTAAACATTGTTAGAGCCCGCGACAGATAAGAAAGACAGATGACTGACCTTTCCCTTGTCAGCTGCGAGTTGCAAATCTGCAGGATGTTTGGCATGGAAATTGATTCGCTAATCCTTATTTGACCACTGCATCTAACAGCATCAAATTTACATCTGCAAGGAACAGAGAAAATCAACAAAGGCAATCAATGATCTAAAGCGTCGTTTTTTTATGACTGGTAAGCAGTACGTGAGAAAGTGCTTGACCGGGCATTGATAATCGAATCGCTACAGGGAACAAGCATGGACCTGGCAAAATTGGACACATTAAAAAGTAAAAGATATGAGGTTTCAAGTGTTCTTGAATCATACTGGGTGTCCCGCTTGATTCGGTTTGATTCCCGAACCGAATCAAATGGGACATTCTCGAGTAATTCGCTTTGATCTCTCTTTTTTGAAAAGCTTTCGCTCTTTTTTGCGAACTATATCACAGAGCTGCCCTCAGCTTAGATTTATATTTTGGAGCAAATCACAGGCTGTTCATTGTTGTAGGTTTACGGTAGAAAAATTCAGCTTATACGGTAGAAATTTTCAGCTTTCACGTCATTGTAGGCCAGTCGTCTCTTGAAAAATTTTCAGAAAATCTAAAAAGTTGCATATCAGGAGTTTCTCGCGCACTGATTTCAACACTCAACGCAAAGTAGTAAGCGTTTTCTGCAGCCGCACTTTTGTTGTTAACACATGTGTGTATGTGTATATGTGTATAAGGCACGCAATAAAATCGTGACAATGGCGCGGAAGCACGCGATAGATGTAGAAATACATTACTCACAACACACCATTCACATATACACGCATGCGCATGCATAAACGTATAGAGCTGACAGCGAGCAACGCTAAGATGTTGCTAGTACTGATGATGAATTGAGTAACTTATGATGTAATATTCCGAAAGGGAGAACATTTTGTATAGCAATTTCAGGATGCTGCAGGAGAGTACGACGCATACGAAAACCTAGTAAGTGTTTAGCATTGTCAGTCTGATTCTGTTATAAGGATCATGCATCACTAATAGTATGAAATGCGTCTTTGTCAGAGTTTTTAAACAACGTTTTTAGCCTACACCACCGCCGGCTTCACCTAAGGAAACAATGGTAAGATCGAAAGATTTTGATCCATTCTTGGCCGTAGTCTCAAGTTTGCCTTTGTTTCTCTCCTCTGCTACGTTATGACCGTCGTGATATGTTTCAGAAAGTGACGGCAAGGACTGCAGTGGGGCCAGCAAGAAAGGTTTGCAATACATGTACTTTATCTCAGAAAGATTTGTCAAAGAGATATTGCTAGGAAGAAGCAGTGGACATGCACACTGCTGAGGGGCTACAGCGAAAGCGGAGACGTGTGAGTTGGTTTGCGAAATAAGCTCATTTGGACATTTGCACTCTGAGAACACTTGCTCCCTGAGGCAAAAATGATTTTGATCCTTATGATTCGGACACTGAGCCCTGCTTGACATCAAATTGTGTCTTTTAGAGACCATAAATTTAAGCTCCATGTCTCTTCAAGCAATTTCTGAGCCGTCGCTTCTCAATTCATTTGTCACTCTCTGACAAATGAAATTCTCATGAAGTTCGTAAGACGGCTTTACAGTGCTGGCCAAAAGCTTGCAGCCACTCTGGAGTTCTGCTATAACTTACTCTGTTTCGCATACAACGAGTTCAAATTTTGATATTGCGTGCAAGCTACAGTTATTGTCTGCCATGCGCAAGATTTATTTAGGTATTGACGTAATCACGCGTCTGATTTGTTTTATTCTCTCTTTCCTATCTATATGAATCCCACTTGCGAAATTAGGCTATCACTAGAGAAAATATGTAAGATATATGCAGAATTAATGTGCTTTTTACACCGTTGAACCGAAGTGGGCCCGTTTGACGCGCACTTCCATTATCCCAAATATCGGATCTTCTTATGCTTTCGCACAGTTTACCTGCATTCTAACAGCATGCTAAGGGCAAAATTTCAGCTGAAGATCTTGACTACAACTCGCTCTAAATTTCCTGCTTCATTATAAGTCATGATAAAAGTTTGTCAAGAAAGTTTTGTCAATTTTTCTCATCATTACCAAAAATGAATGCGAATGATAGGAGTTGGCTTGGGGTGTGATCTTGGTGTGAGATGGCCTCAGCTAATAAATGCGCAATTCGGCTCGAAGAAATAATTGTAAACTAGAAAGAAACGCCTAAAAAAGGAAAAAATCCGTCGCGCTAAGATTTGCGAAATCACATTTCTCAAATTAGACGCGCAGAACTTGCAAAAGCTTAATTTGGGAATCCGTTTTATAGCCTTCGTGTTGGTTAGATGAAGCGATATCCGACTGTAGCTTGCTCCGATCCCTGGGCTTTTTTTAAGCAAAAAATTGCTCATTAAATTCGAGGTTCAAAAACGAACTTTTTACCTGTTTTGAAACGCAGCTAGCGCGCTGCGCGCTTCTTGGAAAAGAGCATCAATGATATACTTAATCAGTAGTCTAAGGTTATCAGTACACTGATGTGGATAAAACGATTTACCTCAACCTCTATCGGCAAAACTTTCTTTACAACCTAAACTAATAAATTATGAAGGGAGTTGCTATTTTTCAAACATTAGTTCAAAGAAGCTTTTTTATATTCAATCCATATTTTTCTCTTCGTTCGTGATAAGGGCGTAGGTAAACGTACGCTGTGTTGCGAGTTTTTCTACTTCTTGTCATTAAAAAACTAAATAGATTTTTCAAAAAAGCTACAGCACGTCGAAGTGAAATTAGCAATACATGCATAATTTTTGCTTTCAAACTAATGAAGATTATTTTATATCAGGGTGGTCGGAACGTAGTGGGAAACTTGTAGAATGACTGCAGATTTCTAAAGAAAGAGGACTCATTAGATGCTTATTGATAGATATTAGAGCATATTATTCTCATTCAGCCAAAACCTATAAAAGGTCATCTACTTATCATCTCATCTACTTACTGACTTCTCTATCAATGACTTTTAAACTTGCTAAAATGCGAAGTCACTCGCTCCAACAAATTATGAACTTTGAGCAGTATCTGCGCTGTTGATATCAGCGCTTCAATTCAGGGCACAAGGTTATTAGCCGTTTCGAGACCGGAGACATTATGACCCACTTTTACAAGTAAACACGAGTTTTCAACACCGAAAAAAGCTCTTTATGCTCCATCTGTCATTTGCAGTTCACCTTAAATTTTATACGACTTTGGAGCGTATAGGCTAGAACATGATTTTTTGGCCCTTTGTCACTCCAAAAATCGAAGATTTCAAGTTTTTGCCGTTTTACCTAGAAACAAAGAATAATTCTGAAGGCTCAATACTTCAAGCTTGGAAAACTCTTTCAAAAAATATTTTGTTTTTATAATTTTACGACATAGTAGTGCAAAACACAACGCTGTCAAAAACCCTGCGAGTTTTTCGAAGCGCTGGGCAAAAGGTTGCAAAAGAGGAGGCGTAGCGCGTTGTATATAGTATGATAATGAAGGTTGCTTATGTGAGTGAAGCTTAATTTGCAGTTTGCTTTGATCGGAACAAAAATTTCGAAGTGTAGACAAGAATTAAGGTGTCCTATTACCTTCCGACCACTCTAAAAACGACATGCATCTATAATTTTCGCTCTATCGCTCTTATAACTAAAAGGGCTGTCTATACTAGAGCATCCCCATAATCATGCTAATAAAAGTTATCTCAGTCAAGGGGTGGATCCAATCTGGTTACCGTTATCGAATGGTCCTACAAAATTGTTGTCATCTCATAAATTTGAAGCTTCGTATAGACTCCTACTTGTTATTCTAAGGTTCCATATCGGAGTTGCATTTGAAGACGCAGCAAAGGCTGAAGATGTGATGCGCATAACTATCAGATTGGAAACTGAGTTTGCAACTATTTCAATAACCTTCTTCTTTTTCAACAGAGCGCGCTCAAGCAGTCAGGGTTACTAGGTATATGGTACATGGGGTAAAATTGCTAAATTTTACGGATTTGGCTGAAATTCGACACAGGGGATTACTCGACATGCTGATCACGAAAATGATATTGAAATCGCATGATAATGCCACTTTTGTAAGGTAGCTGCAGGTTTACCGTTTAAGCTTTTAACCCTAATCAAGGAAGGAGACGCTGATTTCACAAATGAATATGACATTCGTGTTTGTCAGATCATATAACCAAAATATGCGAAGTCTTGGCGAATTTTGAAGTTCCATCTCCTTAGTCATTGACGGTTGTTCCCAGGCAGCCTTGCGTACAGCGGCTTGTTCAACTTCGCGAGAGCGTCAGATCTCGAGTTACCTCCTAATTCATTTCTTTTTGCTGAGAATAAACAAGCCTTAACGATAATTTGCATACAATTCCAGATCATTGCGTTCACTCTAGTTTGCTAAAGGCTTCAGTCTTGCAACTCCAAAATTACTCAAAATTCACTAGTTCTTCGCCTCGAATTTTTCTAAATCGTGTTCAAAATTTACGCTTTTTGTGCATAGTTGTAGAATAGAACGCATTACATTCTCCATATTGTCAGATGCGCAACATTTGAAGAGAGTAAAGTTATTAGGGAAGTTGCAAAACTTAATTTCCAACCTAATATATCCCAATAAGGATTATACCCGTCAAAATTATTGTGAAATTGCAGGTCAAGTCAAAGGAACTTCATGAAATGGTAACACAACGAGAAGGGAAGGCATTAGAGGTAAGCTCTGCATTGACTTATCGCCTAATTGTGTGGATTGATTACAGGAAGTAGAGTTTGCTGCAGATGATAAATTTTTGGATGTGAGTAGCTACTTTATACTTAATTATTATTTCATATAATGCGACGCAGAAGTAGAGTGCAAACTTTTGGCATTATTTGAACAAAGCTGCTACCACTGAATGCTGGTAGTGGAGAAATTAAATTTTTACTCGCGTCGGTCTTAGGCTAATTGCGCGTTCCTTATTATGTTATAGATACCAAGAAGAAAAAATTCTGTGTGTGAGCAAAGAAACCTAGAAAAAATCTTTGCTTAGTGCAGAATACATATGTGTTAGTATTGTTTGCTCCACTACTCCACCATTCATTCTCGGTCTCAACGTGAAGTAATCACCAAGCAATATCCATGTGCATAAAATAGCCCATTTAAGCGCAAAGTACTGCGAAAGTACATTCTTTGCCCGCAAAGAATGTCCATGTATTTGTCAACATTCTGCAAAGCAAGACCTTAACCAACTATTTTCCACATAACTGGAATAAAAAGAGTAAGCAATTTCCCCTGTTTGGGCTGAACGCGATTTGCTCCGTAGTCTGAGGCTACCGATGCTGAAAACGTATACAAAGTCAGCCTATTATCAAGCCAGTAATCCTTCTCTGTCACTGAGGCCAGTAATCCTTTCCTGTCACTCTGAGATGGCTCGTCCCAAAGACAACGGTCTTGATTGCCCTAGGGGATCATCATTCTTTATAGTTTGCTGCCAGTATCGGGTTTATTTTAGAACAGCCAAGTGTTTAAGCATCGTGTTTGATAAAAGAAAGATTTTTGACATTTCTGGACATTAGACCTTTCGGGTTTGCGGCTCATACCTGTGCAGCGGAACTTTAGCAATTACTGTTGAGAAAGGGACCCCGCATCATATTGTATCGGAATCCACCAATCCAATTGTTATGAACAACCACATATCTTTCTATATCTACCGCTTTTGTGACGATTTTACCTGATAGGAATGCCTTTGAATTGCAGAAATGATAAGACGACTACTGTCTCTTGTTGTAGTTAGTTTTTTGATAACTAAGGACCGCATGCATTAACATCCTTGCTGGGAAAGGGATCGCAGCTCAAAAGAAAAGCTTTATATCCTCAAGCTCCAGACATCTGATTTCAGTTTGCCTACCTATCCGTAAGTATTCCTACTATCATTCATTATGAAATATTGAACAGGGGCAAGAAGTTGCATAAGCAGCATTTTCCAGTTTTTTGTATGATCCCCTGGAGATCTCCGGAGGACAACCGTCCCTACTCTTTGAAGTCATTTTTCTTTTTTCAGAATCAATGAAAACATTTCAAAGTTGCACTGATTATCTAACTTAACAGTGCTCAGCATTTTACTGATGAGAACAAATGAGTTTCTGAAATATCGAAATTTCCGACAAACTCCAACCTTCGGCCTGTGATTTATCGCAAATTTCATGACTCCAAAACCGCATTTGTTCTTATTAGGAACATGCTTAGTGCTGTTGAGCTAGATGAGCCACCAACTTTGGAAACTTTTCATTGACTTTGAAGAAAGAAAAAAGACTTCAAAGAGTAGACGGTCGTCCCCCGGGGATCACCAGGGGATCATATAAAAAGCTGGAAAATTCGGCTTGTACAGCTTCTCGCTTCTGTTCAATATTTCCACAGTGGAGAATGATGGGAATATTTACTGACAGGTAGACAGCGTGAAATTCAGATATCTGGAGCTTCAGGATATGAAGCTTTCTTTCAAGCTGTCATCCCCTCCTCAGCGGGGTTAATGCATGCGGCCCTAAGCTAAGTTTTCGATCGAGTTAAGGCATTTCGAACCAGAGAAGTGACTTGCAGTTGCAGTTTGCAACAGTGAAAAGTTTGTGCTGCTTGGATGTGTCTGTAAAAAGTCACGATTTTCGAGGGAAGTGACAAATTAATTAATTTTGGCATTTTCTTTAGTAAAGTCGAAATTCGTAACTTTCCACAGAGACGTCCGAACAGCACAAACTTTTCACTGTTGCAAAGAGTAGGTCAAAAAACCTGTGCACTTATGTTTTCAGATTTTTCCGCAGCGTTTCAGACTTTTGACGAGCTAACATAAAATAACCAAAGTTTACATATCTTCCTTTTCCATTTTTACCACTGCAGTCAGTGTGTATTAGCAGCTAGGAAGGAAAGTGTTTGAAAGCGAAAGAGTTACCCTTTCAAATATAATTAAAGGATGCAAATCAGTTGAGATGCAGCAAAGTTACAAATTTTTTGAAGATGAAATGACAGAACTTTCGGAACAACCTAATATATACCCATGTTGTAATTTGGTCTAGAGACTACCCAAATAAGCTCAAGACTGCCAAAGTAATCTGCTTTTTAGGATGAAGACTTACAAACAGCTTTGCCAACATCCAAGACTTTGGTGCGTATCTTATACGGATCTATTTCATTGCTTGAATCCATAATAAAGCTTTTTTTAGGAAAGGCTGAAACGGATAGAAATGAAGTTAATAAGATCAAGACCAAAAGGTAAAAATAGACTTGTCTTGGTTTGGCACAGAAATGACGACTAAGAATGGAGTTCTTTGTAATCCGTCGGAGATTCTGGATCTCGCTGTTTATTGTCCTCTATCTGAAACTGAGCAAATTTTCGGAATTTGAATTTTGCTGGAAGGAGTTATCCGCAAAAAAACCTAAGTTGTACGATTTTACCGCACTTGTCTCAACCGCGAGCGGTTGGTCTTTTGATTGCTCTCCGCGTAGTCTTTTTTTCTTCTCATTTTTCGTGTCTATTTCCGACATTCTTTCCTTATTTTGTGTCACATAATTCCTTTGAGTGTTTTGATAGAGCTAGGGGTGTCTCACTTCCTGAGTCCCGGCTGAATTGAAATTTCTTTACATATCTGAGATTTTTTCGGTGTCTTGATCGATATCTCTGTGCGTCTGGCCTATCTTCTGTTAAATACTCTATCTAGCTATGCCTGCAAAATCAAATAGGTCACAACGCAAAATTCAAACCCCTGCTGCCTCTAACGTTTTGACTACTCCTCCGAGCGGCACCGTACCTTCACAAATTATCAACTCGTTTGCCTCTCAGGATGCCATTGGTGGTTTCGAATTCACTTCTGTTTTTCATTTATTCAAAAAGCTTTTGGATCTTAACATACCAGAAGTGAATGAAATCACTAATGAGATTTTAGTACGTCTTGGTGAGGTTGGCGAGGGGGCAATTGAGAAGGATAAAAGATCACGGAGTATCGTGATCTCCGGGCTCCCGGAACTCGAAAAATCGAGTGATGGAGCCTGGCCGCCAGCGTCGGCTAGACAAGACGACACTGAGCGGAAAGTCCGTGGGCTCATGGACATTCTCGATGTGGAATGCAGGCCCGTAAGGGTTTATAGGATGGGGAGGAAAGAAGTGGGCAAGCCTCGATTGGTCAAAGTTGAGTTACCAACAAAGGGGCACTGGGTCACAACTCTCTCCCGGGCCAGACTTCTAAGAGACTATCCTGATTATAGGGGCGTCTTCATTAGAAGAAGTATGACTGCCCGGGAGAGAGAGCAGGAACGGGAGCTTCGAGAAAGGGCTAGGCAGATGAATCAGAGTAGGGCATATGAGGACAGGTTCGTAGTTTATAAAGGGGAATTAATTCCAGCCAGCAATCTTTCGCACAGCCAATCGTCTTCCCAAGCCCCATACCCCCTGCGTAGACAAGGGTCAACGCAGCGGGGAAACTAAATAGTTGGCAAGACCACTCTTTACGATGTATACTGTTTAATTCTAGATCTTTAGTGAATAAACTTGCCCATTTACATAATCTTTTGGTCACTGAAGCTCCTGACATTTTGTTCATTACAGAAACATGGCTCTCTTCTAAAATCAATGATGCTGAAATCGTTTCAAATTTGCCATATACAATATTCCGTCATGATAGAAACCATAAGAAAGGGGGAGGTGTATGTGTTTTGATAAAAATAACACTGTTGTGCGAAAAGGTTGACATAACCATCCCAAACAATTGTGACTTTTTGGCTATTGACCTTTATCAAAGTTCCTCTTTTTCCAAATTACGAACCATTTGTATCTATCGCCCTCCGAATTCTAATGCTGACTCAGATGAAGCCCTTTTAGACTTGCTATCCGCTTCTGCTTTATGTTGCACAGACACCTTGATTGTTGGTGACTTCAACTTACCCATCAAATACTCTCAAGAGTTTCAATGCCCGAACAGCTTAAATGTTAAGAAATTTTTTGACCTCTTTGAAAGATTGCAATTGCAGCAGTTTGTGACGGAGCCGACACGTAATGATGCTATACTGGATTTGGTTTTAGCAGGTTTCCGTTCCATCTCCAACTTATTCCTTAGAGCTCCCTTTGTCACTTCGGATCATAACATGATCGATTTTCGATATGAATTCACCTCTCCAAAATGCGACCTTATACCAAGACCAAATTTTAATAAGATTGATTTTGCTTCATTGAAAAAAGAGCTTAATGAAGTTAACTGGGAAGAATGCTTTGATCTTTATAGCAGTTCATCGGAAGTGTACTACAGGTTTTCCTGTATCCTATATGAGCTCTTAGGAAGATTTACCCCATTTGAGACTCGCAAAATTGGATATCTAAAATACCCGCATCATCTCCAGTCACTCCTGCTGCAAAAAGAACGGCTGTTCAAGGCATTTCGATCTGATAGTCCGCTATACAAGAAAGTCTGTTGCGATATTGCATTCCACCTCAAGAAGTTCCTTGCTAATTATGAGAGACGCTTGGCTCTGTCAAAGCAATCACGGAGTCTTTTTGCGTATATCCACAGTAAAACTCATATCAAAGAATTTGGTGCTTTGAAAGATAAATCGGATAATGTATGCCTGACTAATCAATCCAAAGCTCAAGCGTTAGGTGCTTTCTTTGCGAGCACATTTACTACGACTTCTTCTTCAACAGTATCTCTTGGGGCGCCTGTGGCGCATATATGCTCAGCTCCGATTATCATGCCTTTTACGGTAGAACGCTATCTCAAAAGTCTCAAAAATTCAACTTTTGAAACTTTTGACGGAATCCCACAGATAGTATTCAAGCGATGTGCTAAAGAACTTGCTACTCCTCTCTCCCACATCTTTAACATCTCCCTCATGTGTGGTGAGGTACCAAGTATCTGGAAAGAAGCTATTGTCACAGCCGTTCCAAAAGTCAGTAAACCTCAAGTGGTTTCTGACTTCAGACCTATTAGCATCAATCCCGTCCCATGCAAAGTTTTGGAAAAAATAATTCGTGATAAACTTTTGGAGTGGTTCGAAAGATTCAAAATTATTCCCCCAGAGCAACACGGCTTTGTTAATGGTGCTTCTACTGTTACCCAGTTGATCGATTCAATTCATGATTGGGTCAATGCTATCTTGTTGGGACAGAAAGTGGACGTTATCTACTTTGATCTTTCCAAAGCGTTTGATCGTATAAGTCATGCTAAATTGCTGTACAAAGTTGAGCATTATGGGGTCAGAGGCGCCTTACTTGATTGGCTCAAGTCATATCTCCAATCTAGACATATGACTGTCCGCGTTGGGAATGAACACTCTGAGCGTTTTCCTTGCGTTAGTGGGCTTCCTCAGGGAGGTGTTCTGTCTCCCCTTCCATTTACGGTCTATACTGCTGATTTACCCCAGCTGTTAAAAACTCACCCCGGAATTCATGTACTTATGTATGCAGACGACATAAAAATATACGGAATGTACAGCAATGAAAATCGCTATGAGATCCAAGAAGCTTTACAACATTCTATTGATCTCATGATTGCCTGGTGTACAAAGTGGGATATTTCTGTTAACATTGCTAAAAGTTCCGTTTTTCACATCGGTGGCGAAGAACAAGTGCATTATCAGCACAATGGAATAGCACTGATTAACAAAACATTCGTCAAAGATCTGGGAGTTCTGATAGATTCGAGATTGAAACCGGATCTACAGATCGCCTCCGTCACCTCCCGTGCTTTTTCCATCTTATACACAATCTTTAGAAACATCAAACAACTGATCAAAAAATTTTGTTGAGACTTTATAAAGCCCTTGTTATTCCTGTTCTCGAATATGCGACTCAAGTTTGGAGCCCCTCCCTGAGGAAGCACAAGCAGGCATTGGAGAAGGTTCAAAAAGTGTTCACAAAACTGCTTTTCTACCGCTGTTTTCCTAATCCAGCTTACCCCCGATTACTTCCTAGTTATGAAGAGAGGTTGAAAATTCTTGATCTTGAAAGCATCACATATCGGAGAGTTGTTCATGATATCATATTAGCTTTCAGGATTTTTAGGGGTGAAACCAGGTTGAGGCCTTCCAAGTACTGGGTTTTCAGACCTAGCCATGGAAGGACTAATGCATTCTCTGTTTATTTCCGTCACTTTGGTGGGCGACAACGATTTCGTTCCTTATTTGAGCAGGAGTTTTTTGTTCGCACATCAAAAATGTTACAAGAATTACCACACGAACTTTTGGCATGCAGTGATAGTTCCTCTTTCAGAAGAGAGCTTAAAAAAAGAAGATTGAATGACTTCTTTGCAGGTTCAACGTACCTTACTTCCCTTCTTTTATGACTGCGCGGTTACAACCAGACATGTGCAATGAGCATGATTGGGTTACGAATATGCACTGACTAGCAGCCAATTTATAACTTTGCATATGTTGAACTCAACTGCTTTTGAGCCTTTTACTAACACTGTTCTCTTCATCATGTGGTTCAAGCCTGGTCACATCTATATTTTAGCCTGTTTCACACAGCTTGCTTGCTTTGATTGCTTGAAGATCATATTATGCTTATTCTTGCTTTGGAGTTGGGCTCTCCTCGGCAAACTGGTTGAACTATAAATTCCGGTTTGTTTCTTGGAAATCTTTTGAGATCGTGGCTAGCAAACGAAGGGGCATGGGTACCATCTCCTTAGATAACAATTTGTTTAGATTCATTCGTTGTGCAGTACTTGACGATATTCTGTTTTGCACATATGACAATGCTCATGGAGTTTTGGGCTCTCCCCGGCAGGCCGGTGGGTATGTACCCGCCGTCGTTTGCTTGTTTGAATACTTTAAGATCGTTTGCTGGCTAACGCGGGGGCATGGGTTCCATCTCTGTGGATATAACTCATCATTGACATTTGTAATATCCAGCAGTCTTCTTGCAAGCTAAGTCGTTATTCTTTAGTTTTATGAAGTCTGGGCCTGAAGCATATGATGTTCTGTTGTTATTCGTGCTTTGTGTAAAACTAACAATTACACTGTTTGTTCTGTTTTTTTTTATGGTACGCCTTGAGCGTATTTAATGAAAATGAAATGAATTAATTTCGAGCTTTTCTCGAGTAAATCACAGAAGATAGTAACGCGCAGTTTAGTTCAAACAATAGGCTGACCTTACCAATAACAGAGTGGAGCTAAGATTAGTGACTGCTCTCTGCATGCAGAACACATATGGAGAGCAGTGAATGGGAGTTTGCCATTAATAAGCGGACTAACAAAAGCGATGGTCGTCGCTCAACAAAGTCTCATCAAACTTTGTTGTCTACTTCCTTTGCAACGATGTGCATTGGAAACGTGCGGCTGCCCTCTGGCATATATTTGGCATCGTTGCGACACTCTATTTAGCTGCTGGGTCCAAGCAACCTGGCGGGTAGTACTCTTAGATCGCTGGTGTAGTTCGAAGATTGATTAGAAAAAGCGAGAAGAAAATGTCCAAGCTTTTCTTAATGTGGCATTTGATTCCTGTTGAAATTCATGAAACTGATATAAAAAAACTTAAATGGAATCAAACTTCTCCCTCAAGATCTTTCCGCTTTTTCCAAAGCTTTTGTGCGGGTCCAAGTATGTACTTCGTTTGTCGATATCATTACTGTTCCTCTTCTGCCGCTTTCCATATATGCTGTTATCAGCATTTGTGTTTTCAACTTGACTCAGTTGGAACCTGGTAGGCTTCTTTCCTTGAAAGCTGCTTGGTGCTGCTCCTGAATCACGTCATACGACGTGATTGGTCATCAAAATCGACATCGTGGGTGATATTCTCCTCGTGGCACTGATAATTGATAATATCAACGGTACTCTTTTGCCAGAAGAAGATTACGTCAAGCTGCTGATCAACGCATTAAATAAAAACGACGTTGCCCCGGTTAGGAGAGTATAGAACTTACGTTGGAACCGATTTTCCAAAATTATAGGTCTGTTATGCATAAAGTTTCTTTGCCCAGAATTGCGTTACCGTCCATTAGTAAACGAGCGGTATGCAGGATAGTGAACGGTCAATTTAGAGTTAACATAAAAGTCTTGCTAAAACAAGGATTGCCAAGCTGTGTCGTTCCAGACTTGTGTTAGCGTTTGTTCATCGAATTCTGTGAAGAGCAATTATTGCATCTGCAACTATAATACATGGTTAGTTGTTAGCTACGGGCATACATTCGATACATAGAGCCGTGTATTCTGGTAGCCTTCATTTTGAGCGTCATGATAAAACACAACCTTTACCTGGAGAGAAGTACAGAAGTCATCTGGGGCGAAGCCCCGGATATTATGACATAGCTTTGTAGAAGTGGTTGTGAATGAGGCAAGCATAGAGAGCGATAATCGAAAAAAAGCTCAAAAATCAAAAAATTATGTTTTTATGGCTTTTTCTGCTAAAAAAAGTTTCTTTTCCGAAAATTCCTTTGGAATTTAGAGCGACATATCTTAACTAATCTTTTTATAGACTACGATTTAGTGTTAGTAGTTCGATAAAAACGAGGAACTGCGCTTGAATCTTGCGCAGAGGGTCGCCACCCAAATACTGGTTTATCTAGTAATCGAGTGATTTTCAACATCTGCGACGTTGTCAGTGCTCCTGTTCATGTTATGAGGATCACAACGATATATGTTGCAGGGTTTCATTGAGAACCTGCCGAGATCTATGACCAGAGCCAAATGCCCCGCCGGCTCTGCTGACTCCGCTGCTCGTCTGCGTCTCCTCGCGCTGCGCGCTCCTCGCTACCCCAAAGGTGGGGCGCGGGGCATTTGGCTTTGGTACCCTTTTCTTCATTGTTCGGAGCCCAATTACGACAATGTATATATCATATTGAAGCTGTTGACCTTTATTTTCACGCTGCCAATGTCGCAAGACTCCTTTTTATGATTTAAACTAAAAATCTGGAAAAAACGGGGTTTTTGAAAACCTCTTGTTTTTTCTTCAATTCAACACTTTTCACTCTGTTTTTTATATATTCGATAGATCTTGTTTCTGTCTATGATGTAGACAACGTCGCCGAGCTTACTTCCTTGCTTACGCCGCTTTTTTGGTAAAAATTACTAAAAAATTGCGTTTTTCTTTACCTCGTTCTCTTTCAGTGCTTTCGCAACGAATTTTCTCTAGCTTGGACGATACTTGCTCAGAATGATGAGCGGAAGAATCCAGACAACGTCGCAGGATATGAAAAGACTATGCAGTGGTGAAAATTCAAAATACGCATCAAAAATCAGATTTGTCGATGTGCAACATATCTTTTCAGACGTGTTTAACGTGTTCAATTCAGTCGTTGACAAGTTCTCTTTCTTTCGGTCTCCCAACTACCGCCACAGCTAAACAGCGCTTTTTTTAATTGGAAAAAAATTTGTTCTTGTGCCACCCAATTTAATCGGCAATTTTGAAGAGGAAAACGTGTGTAGGAAACCACTAAGTTAAGGTTTCAAATTTGGTGATGTGCCAACCTCTGCTTTATATGAACTTTTCAAGTTTCTTGTTTTAATTCATATTTCTAAGTTTCCATCTATTTTCCTGAAACAACCTTCACTTTTTATAGGGGGGAGGAACTCAAACAACTATTACTTAGGCTCTGTCTCTTGACTATCGAAGGTATGGCTACGGGTCCTGACAGGATGACTTGACAAGAGCGTTTTGCTGTAGCTGAGCTGACTCATGGAAGATTTCTTGCGTGCATAATTAATTATGTTAGTCTCATAGAAAGCGTGATTGCTTATGGAGACGGGGTGCCGTTTGCTGCAATGTTCATAGATTGTCAATCGCTATACGCATCCACTTTCCGAGTAAGAAATTTGAATTCGTTAGGATCCGCCCTGATATTGCCTTCAACCTTTACCGTAACTTTCATTGATTTCAAAAAAGGCGTGAATTTCCATGACATTGCGGAACACAATGACGAATTGTAAACTATACAAGGGCCACGCAATGTACTCCATTTGCTCGTCAGCCACACTAAATATAAACCCACTTTAAAGGACTTATTCTCAGTCGCCAATACATCGCGGACTCGGACATTAGTTGATATCCTCAGTATCATGTGCCTCATACCAGTGATGAACGACTACTGGATAGTGCCAGTACAAGCAATCCAATACGGTGGATGTGAGCACTGATCAAGATTTTGAGGATCATATCTATAGATATTCTGTTATTGTAGTAGCATACATGTTGTTATATGCAACTATATTGGTGCTTCTGGTGCAACCCGTACTTAGCATGGTCTTATTTGCTTCGCAATATGCTCAAGTAGGGATTGTCAACATTTTTAAACTGTACGGTCCAATACCTGAAGGTTGGTACAGTTTTTGTTTCTTACCTAACGGTATCGTAAAGTGATAAAACCCATGCCTGTATCAGGACTTGGCTATGGATATGCTTTCCTGATCTTTGTGATGCAGCTAAAAATAATTCAACAAGGATCGATTCTTATCAAGCATCTTCGATTTACATACTTGGACAACTTATCGATAGGCACTTGCAACGAATACTTTGTTGGAAACTGTGTGTTACAGACGGCGCAAGCCCAAGGATAGAAAATATTTGCAGGGTCAAAATGCTCTTCCATTTTCATGGATGCTCAGTGCGTAGCGCTGAACCGGACACACAAGTATTATGCACAGGGCTATTGCTGGAATGTTCAGCCCCTTGCCGATTCAGAGACGTCTTCGATCAATTCGTATATGAGGTAGGACGCGTTCATTATCATTGCCAGTCCTTCTTTGGTGATTAAACTTTAGCTTCCTCTTGCAACCGGAAAGTGGAACTGGATTCGATTTCGGGGCAAGTTTAGATGAACTTTGATAAGGATACCTCCACCTCAAATTCTAGGGCTACAAGTCTTGAAGGCAGTGTCCAGAAATCTGGGCGTATGGGTTCTGCCGAAAACGGGTGCGGAGACCTAACTAAGACGCTGTCCAAGTGGCAACGCAGATAATTCAATATGGCTGAGAAATCCACTTTCAAACCCTTCGCGCCTGGACCACGACCGTAGCCCGAAAATCACTTCGCTTATATTAACACTACGTTTGCGGTGGGACCTGTTTCAAGTCATTCGCGAATACGGTCATAACGCATGCACGGATTATTTGAGGATGAATTTCTCAGCCGTGACTGAATTATTTGCGTTGCCCTTTGAGCAGTGTCTTAGCTAGGACTATCATCAGTTTCCAGGTAAAAATCCCAGTCAGATTTGCTTGACAGTGCCTTCAAATACCTATAACTGAGCAGCTAAAAAATATGTGCATGATCGGAAGCCTTGACTGGAAAATTATGTTTAAGTCATTTTCAGCGAGTAGCTTTCATTTTTCCGCTGAGTATGATATGTAAAAGTTGATGCGTGAAGGAGTAGTGCTAAAAAGGATTTGTAATGTAGTCAACTTCAATTCTGCTTTTGTATTTACCTATCCGTAAAACTCCTAGATAAGATAGGCCGATACTATAAAAGTAATAGATGCAGAATTCCTCCTCTCTTCAGCAACTACGTTTCTAAAGTGACTTGATCGATGACTGCTGAAACCGGCAAACGTTCAACCTACCCTTTATATCTTTGACAAATTTTCAGAACTTTCAATACTTTTAAAGCAAATTGATTACCAGCACATAAACCAAAGCTTTTGCACATGAGTTATTCGTCCTGCTTGATAAGCTCAAATAACTACCTCCCACTTCGCTTTATGAATCTTATGAATCTCTCTTTTATCCTACTCATAGCGCGGAGCTGCAGAGAAAATTTCAGAACTTACAACTTGGATTTTACATTGTTTATCTATCCTCGTTTTTAAAGGCAGCGTCCAGGCAAGTCTGGACCTATGGGGATTTTACGTGGAAAATACTTTTGGGGCCCTAGCTAAGCCACTGCCCAACCGGCAGCTCAGGTAGTGCCCTAACGCCTGAGATATTCCCCTCGAAACAGGACCCCGCGACCGTGTTTCGCATGGATTCGTGGCGCAAAGCGTGGATCCTGGCGCGAAACTGCCATGAATCCATGCGAATACGTTCGCGGGGGCCAGTTCCGAGAGGAATATCTCAGCCATTAGAGCACTACCTGAGCTGCTGCTTGGGCAGTGCCTTAGTTAGAGCCCCAAAAGTACTTTCAACGTAAAGGCCCCATAGGTCCAGATCTGCCTGGACGCTGCCTTTAAGTATGCTTTACCCTGACACTATGAATGGGAGCATGTTGTGTAAGCTGCTTTTTTAATTAAATTTTTTTATTGATGACAGCATCACAAAATTGTGCTGACTGGCTTACATGTGCGCTTTCGTTCAACTCAGACAATCGCCGGGGCAGGCGGGCATCGGAAAATAGATGGCTGATTTCTCGCACCCCGCCCGCGGATTTTTTGGAAAGCAATCAGAAATTTTCGGAACGCCGCTTCCTGAGTTCCCGATTCCTCAGAGATTCAGCAATATATCTGCAAAAGATAAGAGCGAAAAAAGACTCAACAAGCGGTCTTTCAAAAATCCGCTGACCATTCTCCTGGAATTTGCGAGCGGAATGCGAGATTTCAGCAACGCGTATTTTCCGGTGCCCGCCAGCCCCCGGCGATTGTCTGAGAATATATCTGTAGTAAAGGATAGTAAGATTCGAGGACGGATGTGCAACGTGAAATCAAGATCTCAGGAAAGACATATGAGCTTACTTTTGGCCCTCTCTCTCCCCCCCCCCCCACCTCAAAGGGAAATTATTGTATGAGATCCGGCCATCTGATTTCGGCCACATAATCAGGTAAGTTACAGCTGCCACCTGATAGCGTGTCGATAAAGGTTTGTCTATGCAAAATTTTTGTAAGGGTAGATTCCACTGCAGCTCATTCAACGACAAAAATTTTTTGTAACTAAGATTTTGCACAACAGGATTATGTTCGCCAACTATTGCAACTAGCTATCATTGCTACTTTTGCCATGAATGGCCCAACAACACTGGCGTCATTTCTGGCCACTTTAAGTAAGTGTCTCAAACACCAATTTCCTTCTTAATACGGGTGATTTTAACCCGGGTGATTTATCAGTGGTAATCTTCATAATGCTAGTTGTTTCAAACAATCCATTATCTCTCAATCAGAGGTCAATCATGCTACTATACCACTTGACCGATTTCCGGAAGCTATTACAAGTAGACGTAAGAGTTTGCTTTCGTTACATTTTTCGTGAGCTTCACTTCCTTGTTTTTCCTGAACCTAGTCGAACCAGTAAACTCACGAAAACCTGTATCATTTCCATTGTTATACAAGCAGTGTGTCAGTCCCTTTGCCACCTTCAGGCATGGGTTCAAGCAGCCATGATGGCCTTCGCTACATCAGGATTGGGGGAAGTTACTGTATTTTGCATTTCGTCATTTCGAAGTCCTCGCAGCAAATATTTTTCGGTGAGAATACTGAACTCGTTTGTCTGCAAACTAGTCTCGAGTACGAACAGACCTCAACTTTCATAATTATCGGACGATTAGTTATTTGTATCATCGGACTATTTTCGTTGTTAGACAAATTTTCTTTACTCAAACAAAGGTATCCTGATTACCGTGAACCTTCCTATAACTCGGGTAAGAGCATCCACGTTAAATTTTTATTATATTGCCTCTATTAGTCTTGAATTATAACCAAGCTAAATTTGGGTGTAGGGCGTTAGGCGACAAACGCGATTTTTTGAACCCCAAATAACTCCCCGTGCAAAACGTCTCCTCCGCCAAAAACAGGGTGTGGGAGTCGGGGCCGATACATTACTCAACGCCATCAAAAAAATTGCACATAGTTTTGACTTTCGGGCTTTACGTTAATTGCGTTCTGCACGTTTTGTCGCCTAACGCTTGCCCTCCGCTAAATTTTAACACTTTCTGCTCTGACAACAGGCAGGTCGAAATTTTCAGGTTCTTTATCTTCCATTTTACTCACCACTGATGTCTACAGTATCTTTAGTGACTTTCCACAGCGAATGTTTGACCATGCCGAGCTTCTGCTTATCTATCACATGGTGACTGCATTCGGTTTGTTTGACATGTGTTATTTATGTTTTTTTTTAATTTTGCATACCTCTCATCAAATCACTCGAAGGAGCGACATCTTTTGCTAGACCTTGAGCGCCTCCTACACACTGCTGGAAAATGGCTGGCATAGTACTGCAGCTACTTCAAAGGCTGAATTACAAAGTTGCAGACGTAAACTTCATGAACCAGCAAACTGGCTACCTTGGTCACGCCCTTCGTTACCTTGATCAGTCCGGCTCAGAACCTGAATGCGAATCTCGCACTGAGCAAAAACGCAGTTGCATATTTTTCCATCAATTCCCCCTCCCCCCCCCCCCTCCCGCACCCTTCCCTCCATTATTTGCTCCAGCTATTGCGCTCATGGAACAGCATGGCTTACCTGCTACACTAATCTTCGAATCACAGCAACTTTCCCAACCCATTGCTATCATGAAAGGGGAACATGATTCGTTAGCGGTCAATAGGAACTCATTCTCACTGCAAAGTGCAAAAATCAATGAAATTGATGGAAGAGCCCAGAGAACTGGCACAAAAAGTGGTCTAAAACAATTTCTAGTCGAAAACGTATGTGTGCAAATGGTTACGCCGGTACACTCAGGACGCCGTCAATTGGGAGCATATATCGTTCGCCCACACAAACTACCTGCTTTATATATGTAAAGGTAGATAAGGATGTTTTTACAAAAACTGCATTTCACTAGAACAGCTCTTCACTACAAAGATCCCATTTGAAATATCAACCTTGATAGAGATTCAAAAAAAGAGATTTTGGTGATACACAGATCCTAGAGTTTGTTACATGTCCATGCAGCAAAGCAGGAAGCGAAGAATGCCAAACGAAAAGGTCCAAAAACTGATTTGAAGCTGAACTACTACTTTTGTCAAAAAAAGTCTCTTTTATAAAACTTTCTACTTTTGAAATGCCGATTCGATGCAGTACAAATGACTTTTAAAACTATGATAGCACACCAAAATGCATAAATCAGTATTGCTATCTCCTGAAATTTATCTCCACCTATCCTCTTCTTTTTAGCAGCAATTTTTATGATGTTCGCGGTAGCAAGAAGACAGGAAGCAGATGGATTTGCGGAACACGCACCTTTTGTTGGAGCATTCATAATATTTTGTTGCTTTTACTCCTTTATTGCCTGCTTTGATGTATGTTGCAATGCAACCATAATGAAGAGAGAAATTTTTGAGCTTACGACAACAGAAATTTCTTTCAGACCTTCCACATTTTTGTGTACAGACATAAAGATCTAACCAAGTCTTGCTCCTTGCATTTATACATGGCATTCACTATATTTTTGTTTACATTCGGTTATGGTAAGCAATTGATTGTGTTTCGCACATCACTCTTGCAAACTATGGCTGAAACTCCAAACATGCAGGAATCAAGGAATACAAGAGTGATGCTAAGTTTTTCTTTCCGCACACGCGACGTTCTTTACGCAAAATACGTGAGGTTTGGCAGACAGCAGCTTTTGCAATCTCTATAGTCATATTACTAGTATGTTCTTTCCAAATTTCATTATATTCAATATATTTTCACTATTTCAGCTTATTCAAGGATACGAAATTGCGATGGTAGTCATTAGCGAGAAGAAGAGATTTTTTGATATTGTGCGTGTTTTTGAGAGACTTTTTCCAGCATTTTATCATGTTGCTGACGGCGTGAAGCAAATTTGCAGATCAAAAGAAACAAATTATGGGATATGGTTCAAGAAATTTTCTCAATTATCTTTGCATTGGTACCCTTCGTGATTCCTCTGCTTGTAATCATGCTCAGAGCACACCGCATCAAAAAGGCAAGCCAGACGTCTGGATTTCCCACAATAGATTCACAATTTCTGAAACGCCGGTTTTTCAGAGGAAACTTATACAACTCTCTCACGATCACCCAACTCAAAGGAAACGTAAGATCAACTGATTTGATTAAGACAAACAACTTGAAAAACTTTTGTAGGACAACTGACGAAAGCTAGAAAAAAACGAATGATGATGACTATGAGAGCACTGTCGATATTTGAAAGCGGTGAAACTCCTGATGACATGACCGATACTAGCACAATAGGAGGGGAACCGCGTGAATCAGCAGAACAATCAGAAGTCAAGGACAGCACCTTACCTGTAAAAAAGTCTAGCAAGGACAGAACCGATTCACAGTTTTCGGGAACAGCAGAAAGTGTCAAACCTGATAACCAAAGTAAAGGAGATGACCGAAGACATTCATAATGCCGGATTAGTTACAAAAATTAGCCAAAATCGTTGTCTATAACTTAAAACGAATTTTATTGACTACAATCAATATTAAATCGTGCAAATGTACATCAATTAAAGCACGTTTAACTTAATAAAATAATTAGATTCTGCTGCCTTTCTTGCCAGTGCGAGTGTTTCAGAAGTACAATCGAATTCACCAAAAAAGGAATCATTCACAATATCAGTTGCAACAGTTCCCAATTAGCGGTGATTTGTCCCCAAAAATGTTTCCCAGGTACCAGGTCAGCTCGCTGTTTTTCAATCGTTTTGACACGTTCATTCCAAGAAATTGTCTCAAATTGCCTGGAGTTAACATTTTGAAAATAGCGAGCTGACGAGTACCTATGGGAACATTTACATTCCTGGGGAAATGACGATATATCTACACTTGCGGTTCTGGCTACCAGTACGTCGCTTCTATGCAATGAAAAAACGCGGCCGCAAACATTTTCTATGGATATATTCGCCATGACTTCACTACCTTTTTATGACTGTTTGTCAATACGCCGACGGAAGACGAGGATGTGAGCAAGAACCCATTGCCAAAGGTGCCTAGCTCAAATCAATGTAATTCTGATTTCTACTTCGTACTTTTTGACAGTTAGACTCGAAACAAAATCAGGCAAAACGGCTGAGTTAAGTAGCCAATATTTTGCTCTATGATGTGCAATGAGAGTCGCAAAAAATTGTAAAGTGCTGCACAAGTTTGTTTGTTGAATTGTGCACAACCACGATAGACATGCAAACCATAACTAAAAGTAAGAATTTTTAAGCAAAGAAGATAATCTTTGAAGTCTTTACTATCAGATTCTTTATCCTCGCCATTGACCTGCGCAGGCAGAGCGGTGGTGTTTTTGTTTTCATTTGACTCGATTAGCTGTTTTTTGTGGTTTGAGTTTTGAAATGTGCAGGTTGCTTCGAATGGTCTCTAAGCAGCATTACTTCGGCAGGCCATGTGGTCTTTTTCAATGTGGATCTAGACGGATGCTGTTTATCTTGGATCTAAACAGACACTGTCGTGCAACTCCAAAGTGTACCGCACATCGATGTTTATGACGCAATTTGTGTTAGGTTGAGCTGTTACCATTCGCGTCTCCATCGTGCTCAGAATCTGCTCGTGTTTCCTAGTTGCTGGTCAACATTCTGCTTCGCACAGGGCGATGGCCGCACCACAGTCCGATGTACTTTCGACTCGAGATATGTTGGTTTGACGGTCGCAGAGTACGCCCATTACTTGCCGCCACTTCAGACAAGCCGTGTCGTCCTAGCACGAGCACCAGTAACCGTTTCGCAATCCGGCGTCATTCGGGAACCCAGATATCCAAATGTGGTGACCTACTTCAGTGGCTGCCCATCAATGCTGATTGTACTGTCGTTTTGCTGTTTCCATTCCGGGCACTCGATTTTTATTTCGCTAGCGTAATCCATCTCACCGTTGCCTCTTCGAGCTTCTGCCTGTATTCTCTTGCTAGCTCGAGGTTATCCGCGTAGAGGAGCGTCCACATGGGTGCGGCAGCTGAATGTCTCTGGCCACGGCACCCATGCGTATAAAGGGAAGTGATGATAGAGCCAATCCTTGATGTACTTCAACTTGGATTGGGAATTCCTACTACACAGCTACGGCCCTGTCGTGTTTTCATATACAAATTTGATCCAGCGTATCCTCTGGGACGTCGTGTTGTCTCAGTGCATACCAGATCAGCCCTTGTGGTATCCGACCAATGCCTTCTAAATCCAAGAATACGATAAATAGGTATCCACTTCTCCGAGAGGCGTTCCACTAGTAATCGTATGGCATGGGTGGCGTTAATGGTACCAGATCCTTCTACCGTGTGTCGATGACTCGCCAGGGTTCTTCAACGTGTGGCACAGCAGGCGCATTGATCGATATGTTGAACAATCGCCGGCGTCGTCCTTGTTTTTCCAGATAGGGCCTGTGATATTCTTAGATCAAATTCGCGGCATCTGCCCTTCGATGATGGGGTTGAAGACTGATGTAAGGATGCAAGAACACTCCGCGCTGTTTCATCATCTTCCATACTTCAGAAGACACCGTCAGGTCCCGGGTTTTTACCGCTGAACATCAATTTTCGCCTGGCTGGGATCGGGGCAGACTGTAAAACGACACTACTCGGTGTGACTCATCTGCCTCGATCTCATAGCCATTAATCTGTCTAAAATAAGAGCCACTTCGGTTACTAATCACGATGTTTACCGCTGACGATGATCGCGACTCCGTTCTGGTGGCTGCTATATCCGGTGTAGTAAAGGCGGACCCCTCGTCGATGTCCTTACCGCCCTTCCTTCCATTTTTTCCTTAACACACGCGCCGCTCGCTCAATCTACGCATAGCTCTCGACTGCGGCTCTTTAGCGTTCCTTATGTTGATCGTCGCCGATCGATATTCCTGGAATGCTTCTTTGTCCTGCCTCGTCCGGGGGCAGGTAGCTCCAGCTCACTATCGCGCCATGCGGCCAACGGCGCGCGTAGCCTTCGGTTGACGCCCTAGCAGCTTGACGACATTCCTCCATAGTCCGATGCATATGAGCGACCGAATCGTGTAATCCCCGTCACGTCACTTGCTAACAACGCCCTTCGCGTTTCACCGCGGGGGTGCGACGATGGGACTTTGCCGGCCGATCTTTCCTATCAGCGTACATAACTTGATTCGAAAGTTTTACCATCTTTGCACCTTTAACCTCATCCTCAATCATTATCGGATTTG